AAATGGATTTTTTCCCAGATAATCTGTTTAAGAGGAACAAATTGACTGGAATGACTGACTGAGCGGTCCAAATGTGTGCCTGGCTACTGAACAGTACCATCTTTCTAATAGACAGGATCCTAAAAACCCACCGGAAGTGGAAGTCGGTGGACCAGGCTTCAAAAATCTCAGCTCTCCCCCTTGACTAATTCAGGCAGGTGTTTAATCTCTCTGAGCCTATTTTCTCATCTCTAAAAACAAAATTTTTTTAAAATCACTGATAACAGAAATAGATGAAAACGGTATGTACCTGGTACACAATAGGTAGGTATTTAAAAAGGTAGCAAATTATAAAACCCTTCCCATGGAACGCACAGCCCTGTTATTTGGCCTGGTTCTACCTCACGTTTTGCAGTAACCACTCTAGGTTTCTTTGAACTCTTTGAACATGCTATGTTTTTGCAGCTCCAAGTTCCATACTGTTTTCTTAAAAGCTCCCCTCATGAAAGCCCCATCTTCACTGACTTTGCCTGCCTCACCCCAGAAGCCTCAGCTTTATGCATCATTTCTTTCGAGAGCTTCCCCAGATACACTTGCTACACGATTCCACAGTACCCTGTTCCTGCCTTCTGGTAACATTCAAAATGCATGTAAGTTCATGTTTAACATCTATCATCCCTGTGACTTGAACTGGATGAGCACAAGTGCTCATTATACGCCTATGCATTGCATTGTTTCCTTCCTAAAATAATGAATGAGCATGAGCATTGGAGCAAAAGCATTGCTTTTAAAAAATACAATTCATTCAAAAATTAGAAAAATCCAAGGTCAAGTCGGTGCCCCACCCCATTTTAAGACCAGGGTATTTATTTGGCCTAACAGCTCACTGAGTAGGACTAGCCTTTTGGAAGCACACACTGAGTGTTCCCTGAGCAGGTCAGAAAGATCATATTCCATACCATTCAGCCTGCCTGTCAAATGCAACATCCCTCCCGGGGGAGGGAGCAGCCCAATTCCCCAGCTGGTTTTATTCACACTAGAAACTTTAACTCCGTTCTAGGCCTCACAAAATGAGAGCTGTGTCCACACAAAGCCACAACAACTAGCCAATTCACTGAATCCGATGAAATAAGCCAATTCACTGGGGGGAACACAAACTGTCAAACTGGGTACTCGGTGCCTTATAGACCAAACAATGCGTGATTGAATTGGTTTGCTTTTCAATAGGTTGTCTTGTCATGTGGTAGGCTCCAGCGAGTGAAAGATTTTCTTTATCATTCTGCTTTGTCTTTTTTGTTTTACACACAAAAATAAGAGCACATAAGATAGAAGGGTACATAACCAATAATGGTTTCTCTTTAATTTGTGGTCAAACACACTAAATTCAACAATTTGAGCTTGCCCAAAAGGCACATTTGTGGAGCAAGGCACCCAAGCCTTTTTTTTTTTTTTTTTTTTTTTTTTGTGCTTTAAAATAAGCTCCTGCCAGTCCTGATCTCTTTGCAAACGCATGGCACTGGGAGACAGAGACCATGTGCAACAACAACTCCTCACAGACAAAGCATCTATTCATAGACCCCACTCAAGTGCAATCGTAGATTTTCAATTTCATTCAGCTGAGTGCGGAAGACTCCCACTATGAGGGTGGGTTGCTAAATGGTTCAGCTGGGAAAAGGACCCAGGATGAGAGTCGGCTCTACAGGCTGCACTTTCATTAGTAGAAATGAAAGCGAGTCCCTCACTCCAAGTCCAATTTTATAGTAAAGAGCTAATCCAGCAAATGAGCCAAGAGGCTGAGCAATTTCTCTTTCTCCACATCACTTCGGTACCCAGAGCATAGCTTTTGTTGTCGTTGGGGTTGTTGCTAGGGTAAGCGCTGAAAGAGAAGCTGAATAACGCACAGGGTTAAAACTTGCACAAAAGGGAGGGACGATGTTGGTCCCCCAAACCCACGGCTAGTCCTTACCACTTGTATCCTTTCTTTGAATACAACATGCATTTTTCACCTTCCAGCCTTCTCATACCTCATTCTTCAAGGTCTAGTTAAATATAACTAATGCTCCCAGCCTGCAGTATGTTCAGTGTTTTCTGTGCATCATCTCATTCCATTCCCCACAACCGTATGAGGACCATATTACTATCTTCCCCCCATTTGCAGAAGGGATGGGAGAGGTGAATCATATGCCCAAAGTCCCAGTGAGGCAGTGGATGTGTTGGGATTTAGCATCCCCCTTCCAGAGCTTGAGCTCCTAATCACATACTATACCACCTTAACCACTCCCAACACGGGATTTCTGCTTTGCCTCAACACAGCCAATCCCTATTTAGCCCCTCCAACCCCCAGCAGAGCACCTATCTTCAATCTGCATAGGTTTTTCTGCTGCAACTGGGTGCATAGGTCTGTGCCATTTCCCCAGTGGTGTCTGGCAGGAGGCACTAAGTGTGTTTTCCATTACCAACTGGTACCCCCCGCACTTCAAATAAATACTATTGCTTTGTCAGGCCAATAAAAGTCAAAGGCCAAATCCCCCGTGTAGGGGCTGGCATGACGTTCTCTGGCCCATGGTCTCTTGCTTTTCCATAAGACAAGTGTCAGTCTGTATTAATGGCAGCAATTTTAATTGAAGGTTTGCTCCAAACGGGAAGAGAATCAAGGCTCTGCTTATCTCTGCATTAAGATGACAAAGCAGGAACACTCATTTAAAGCACCATTTTCCAAGGCAGGAAGAGACAATTTCACCTTTTACTCACTCTTTCCAAAGGACAGTCTTAAATTGACTTCTGGCACGCTATTGCTCTTGTGCCAAAGGTTTATCATTTTTATTTGACCTGAAGAGGTGTGGCCCACATAATTAAGACAGATGGGAAGTCAATCACTTCTTGCATGCTGACCCAGCAACCCAGAATAAAGAAGTTCTTAGGTAGCTGGGCCGGCGTGGCTCAGTGGTTGATCGTCAACCTATCAACCAGGAGGTCATGTTCGATTCCCGGTCAAGGCACAAGTCTCAGTTGTGAGCTCAAGCCCCCGTGTGGGGCGTCCAGTAGACAGCCTATGATCAATGATTCTCTCTCATCACTGATGATTCTCTCTCCACCTCTCCCTTCCTTGCTAAAATCAGTAAAAAACGTATTTAAAATAAAAATATTTTTTAAAAAAAGTTCTTAGGTAAAAAGTGCTCGTTGCCAGCATGGATACAGCTACCTCAGGTGCTCACCCTATCCAACCGTTCTCTGCTGCGCCTGCACAGTGTGTGCTCTTTACAGTGTAAAGCATGGCGTGTCTGGGAATGTGTTTTAAAAGCATTATTTTCAACAGGTATTAAAAACGTATTAGTCAGAAAAAGTTATAATCCGCAGTGTGCTATTATGCCACCTTCCTAATTCCCAGGTGTGCAAACACCCCCACAAATCTGAATCCTGTCAGCATTTAGATAAGCTGTTCTGGCAACACTGGGAGTGGAGGAGGAAGAGAAGACAAAACGTTCAAAATGTTTGGATCCCAGTATCACTAAACGGGAGCTTTAAGGAAACACTGGGACACAGGTCAGGCTTCTTTCTGGCTTCATGCTTTCCGTGGGTCTGCTCACTACCAACCTTTGGAGAACAAAATACTAAAGGCATCCTAAGAAACTGGAAACACCAATCACAAAGGACATATGCACCCCTATGTTCATAGCAGCACAGTTTACAATAGCCAAGATGCCCATCAGCAGATGATTGGATCAAAAAACTATGGTACATCTACAGTGTACACAATGGAATACTATGCTGCCATAAAAAGAAGGAATTCTTATCATTTGCAGCAACCTGGATGGAACTGGAGAGCATTATACTGAGTGAAATAAGCCAGTCAATGAAAGAAAAACACATGACCTCACTCATTTATGGATAATAAAGAACATTATAACTGATGAACAAAAAGATAGATACAGAGACAGTAAAATAACAGACTGTTGAATTACAGTGGAAAAGGTAAGGAGATATGGGGGAGATAAGAGATCAACCGAAGGACTTGTATGCATGCATATAAGCATAACCAATGGACGCAAAACTCGGGGGAGGGGGGGAGCACATGTATGAGAGTGGGGGGAGCTATGGTAAGATATGTACACATATAATACCTTAATTTAAAAAATGAATAAACAAACAAACAAATAAATAAATAAAGGCAGAAAAACAAAACGAGGGAAAACCAGACAGGAAAAGAATGCCTGTGGAATTTATTAATATCAGCTCAGAGCGGGAGAGGATACTGCCTTGCCCCTTTCTGACACTAAATATGGGACAGGTTTAGAAGTCACAGTGGTAAGATCCTTATTTTCCATTTATGTACTTGCATACCTTTTACTGATTTGTGCCAATAGAATAACTATCACTTTTTCTTAACCTAAAATGTTACGCGGAAGAGGAGCAGTAAGAAATGTATGAGTGAGCTGTTTGTTTAGCAGTAAGACAGAGGCACACAATTTTGGATTCTGGTGTTGAAGTGAAGGAAGAACAAGCATATCGTCACTAGCTTGGCAACTTGTCAGAATACTGACAAGTTCAACACTTTCTGCTCATTTTGAAAATTATCACTTTGAACAAAAACCAGTCAGGCTGTCTATTCAAGGTCCTAACTACTGAGAACACTATCAAAAACACTGCCTAGTTTTTTAAAAATATATATTTTTTTTTTTTCAGAGAGGAAGGGAGAGGGAGAGAGATAAAAACATCAATGACTGAGAATCATTGATCAGCTGCCTCCTGCATGCCCCTTACTAAGGACTGAACCAGCAGCGGCGGGGCATGTGCCATGACCAGGAATCAAAACGTGACATCTTGGTCCACAGGTCCAAGCTCAACCACTGAGCAACACCAGCCGGGCAACACTGCTTACTTTTATATGCTAAGTCAAACAAAGAGTAAACACACACACACAGACACATGCACAGATTTGTCCTTGAAAATTATCATCAGTAAAACCTCACCAAGATACTGTGCAATTACCTCTCTGACTCATTTCTAAACTGGTGTCTTACCTTAGTGTTCCTTCGCAGACTGCGAAGAATGTTTCTTCTCCTGGGGTCTTCATCTGCTTCGTATGGAATGACGGCATTGTCCCCTTTATAACCTTGAGATGCCTGGTCCTCCTCTTTCTTGCGGATGGGCCCCAGCTCGTCATCGCTCCCCACGCTGAAGCTGGTTCGGTAGCTGGCAAACCTGCCCAGGCGGCTGCACCTGGCCCTGTACAGCACCGGCTTGCTCACAATGGAGACTTTGCGGCCTCGCTCTAGGGAGCTGGTGTCCATTTCACTGTCGGAGCCGTTCCCGCTGCCGTTGGACTGGGCTTTGTTGATGTTCCGAATGGTGATGATCTTGCCTTGGGTGCTGTCGTGGGGCACGGAGTATATGTTTTCTTCTTCGTTCCTTGGCTTGACCACGGCATCCAGGGGCTCGGCGTAGTCAGAAGGATCGAAGCCATCCGGAGGCAGCCAGGTGCTCGAAGACAGGGACTTCCTCCGGCCGTCTCTGTGGCCTTGTTCTAAGTAAGACAGGTCCCCCTTGATTTCAAAGTGGACAGGCGGCTTTGGTTTGACTGGCGGAGGTACTTTGTTGTTCAGTTTACTCTCAAAGTTGCTCATGAATAAGGACAGCCCGTCGTTTCCCTCCAGTTCCATGGAGAGCTTAGAGTGGTCTTTGGACAGGGAGGGCAGCGATGGGTCTTCTCGAAATAGGCTGTACGAAGGGGGCTCGCCATCCTCTTCGGAGTCCTGCAGGTTGGAGTTGCAGAGCGGAGAGCCCGCCCGCGGGGAGCTGAACACCTCCTCCGTGGTGCTGCAGGCCTCGGCCGCGTTATCGTACATGTGAGTGGCCTCGATGATGTTCTTTTTCTCCACCACGTCTTTGAAGAACGGGTGGAAGAGCTCGAGTTTATGCTGGGGCTGGCTGCAGGGAATGCTTGTGAATCTGCCATCAATTTCTTGAGCGATCTCCTCCCCCTCGGTCAACTGTTCCCGACTTAGGTCATTGTCCAGGACATCGATAGCGCCGTCAGTGAGTGCGACCAGCTGAATGGGGATGATATCCTGCACTTCACAGAGAAAGGCACGTAACATAGCCAACGAGGCCTTACGTTTGGCTGAATAAAAAACTATGTACCCATGGACTAGGCGGCTTTTTCGGACGCTAAACGAGGAATGGTACGAAAGAATAGACAGTTCGATGCGCTTCTTGTGTAGCCCGATCGGTAGTTCAAGTAAAACAGAGTTGTTGCTCCCACAGTGGGAAGATTTACAGGTTTGGGACTGAAGGACAGGCAAGAGTATGTCGTCTGCGCTAAAAGGATCTCCACACATCAAGCACATGACAATCCGCAGGTCGACGTCAGCCAGGTCTTTGATGCTGGCAGTAGAACTGACCAGGTTCAAGTTACGCTTAGAGTCCAGGAGTCCTTTCAGAACTTGACTGATGTGCTTTTCGTTAATGTTGCGTCCGTAACTAATGCCGGCAGCAGCGGGGTCCACGAAGACACACTGAAGCTTGCTAGCAATCTGCTGACCCTGTTGTATTAAGCTGTGCAGGCTCTCCCCACTGGTGTCTCCTCTCTTGTTAACCAAAATCAGTGTCAGCGGGAGGTGGACTAAATGATTATCTCGCCTGCCAAGTGTGGACTCTCTACTCTTCTCTATACTCTCCACCACGTAGGACAGAGATTCCTTTGAATTGTAAAGGCAGAGGCATCCGTGGGGCTGAAACGTTGGCGTCTGGAAAGAGTTCACAGGAAGCCTGACATTACCTTCTATGGGCCTCAGGGAAAGCTCATACATTTTACCGTCTATCACATACTTGTCATCATTTGTACAAAGAGCTCGAATCTCATTGGCCAACTCTCGGGCAAGACCATCTTTGCCCAAGATCACCAAGTTGATTCTATCAATGTTGGGGTCAGAGAGTGAATTTTTCTGATTCCGGTCAGATGGCCGGATAAACCAAGAACTAATCAAGTGCTCGATCTTAGCGTCCACACAAGCCGGGCAGCTGGGGCACGTTTCTTTTGTGGGGTGGTACACGAAGTGAATGTGCTTCAGAATGAGGGCATCGCGCTCCGCCTGGAGCTTCTGTAATGCTTTGAACCGCTGCTCCTCCCCCAGAACATCCTGAATGACCCCCATCTTCTCCTTGCTGGGCTTTGCATCCAGCTCTAGCTCATAGAACAACTCTGAATACTCTACAAGCAGCTCCTGAAACTCTTCCTTTGCTCTGTCTATAATCTGCTTTTGGTGTTTCCCGTAGATGTCCATGTACACAGATTCTTCCAGCCACTGGTAGAAATCTTCGTTCATGATGAAACTCCGGGCCTCTTCCCACGGCTTTCCGGGAGTTATGAAAGGCGAGGTCTCCAGGTTTTCTTTAAATGCCCTTCTCATCTCGGCTCTTTTCCTCTCGTTGCGCAGTTTCTCTAAGTGGGCCTCATACAGCTGCTCGGCAGGGACCGTGTCCATTAAATCGAAGGGAATCCGCTCATTCTCCATGTTGTCGATGTGGCTGGTGGCATCCCACGGGGTCTCCTCAAGCACCACAAACCACTTCAAGAATTCTGGCTTGGTCTCCAAGAGCTTTTTGGCTTTTATGCAGCTGAGGTGGTCTATTTCATCTAGATTGGGGATAAGAGCTTCGAAAGCTAATGGCAGGGCTGCCAGGTACAGCTTCCTTCTGCGCTCGATATGCTCGTGCTTGAGGCGGTGGATGTGCTGGAGAAACAGCTTCCTGGCTTTCTGAGTCCCTTCCAGGTACACATAGTCCTGGTACTCGGGAGAGGCCTGCATCTTTCGGCTGACACTCAGCCAGTTCTCATTGTGGTTTTTCACAATGCGGCTCACTAGCCACTCGTATTTGTCCTTTGCCGTAGCTATCTGCTGACTCTGCTGCTTGAGAGCTTCAAAGTAAGGAATGATTTTCGTCTTTCCCCGACTCTTATCAATGAGCTGCACTAAGGTGCTGAAGGCCAAGTCCACGTTGACGTTGGATCGTGCAGAGGTCTCCACGACCTGGAGGTTCTTTTTGCTTAAGGCAAAAGTATGTGCATCTCTAATGTACCGCTCAACACCCTCGTCACACTTCGTCAGGACCACAACGATGGGCTTCTTTGTTTTTGCCAGCTGATTGTACAGATTGGTGACAAACTTGAGCTGGTCATCAAAGCTCCTATTCATGCCCCTGCTAACATCAATACCAAGAAGAAAACCATCGATTAGCAGCTTTCCATCTGACATTTGTTTCTGCTCAAAGTCCTGCTCCAGCCCCAGCTGGTCAGTGCAAAAGTACATGAGTTTCTCAGCTGATGCGAGCTTGGTGGCAGCAGCTCTCTTGATGTAGGGCTGGAGGGCCGTGCTTCGATGAGGTTGGAAAGTCTGGTCATCAATGAACTCGGTCTGCTCCACAATGTGCATCTTACATTCCACGCAATCCTCCAGGGATCGGGTAACTTCTCCCCAGTAGAGGAAGTGGTCATTGTTGACCACTCGCCCTCCGAAGTCACTGGTGCTGAGGACAGAGGTGTGGTCCAAGTGAAACTCATCAGCACTTGGGCGCACGAAGCGGTTGCACAGACAGGACTTCCCAATGCCGCACTGGCCCTTCTCCTTCTCGGTCCCAGACAATCCCACCACACTGATGTTGTAGGTGGGAATGCGGACATCTTGCTTTCTTGCCATCATCATCGTCGACACATCCTGCCACAATCAGCCACTTCCGAGATCAGATTAGTGTTTTCCAGTGGACCCGATGGCTTGCCAACATCATCAGCAGGGGCTGGCTGCCCATGCAGCGAAGTGTCAGGTCCTGTAGTGCTTGTGTACCAGTACAAGGTCAGTTTTTGCCACTTCTCATCACCAAATAGCCAGCATTTCTTCCTAGATGGAGAAAAAAAGAAAACCCATCAGTATCATCATTTTGGAATCAATTATAATCACTGAACTATAGCAGAAATCGATATTCTTATTCAATAAATACAGTAAACAACGAATGTTCCAGACCTAATGCTGGTTGAAGATGTAAGAGTGAATAAGAATGACATAAATGTACCCTCAGAGAGGAACAATGTCATCTAACAGAGGAAGACACATAGTAAGTAGCGTGCCACGCGCCAAAACAAGGGTTTGAGGGCTCCTTGGAAAAATTGCTGGTTCCAAGGATAGGATAGGATTGGTACAAGACGAGCCTGGAATATCTTGTCTGCAAGAAAGGAAGTACTAGAAAAAATGGTAGTATGCCTCATAAGGATACAGGAGCCAGTCAAAGGGGCTCCCACAGGTCAAATCTGAGACAATCTGAGCACTAAAATAAGTATATTAAGGAATTGTAAGCTACTGCAAAATAAAGAAACCTTCAGCTCATACTACTGGATCAGACAAGAATCATCACTTGATGCTAAATCTAGGGGAAACTTGGATGCGGCGCAGAGTATTTGTACGGAACTGAGGTGTCCTCTGAAAGGCTACTTACTACCTGGAGAGGGAAAATAAAAACAACAACACTGATTATACAGCGGAGAAACTGGGCAACACTTTGGGTAATGAAAATTATCATCACGAAAGAGGGCTAGAAGAACACATAAGCCTCAAATGTGATCCTCGGGGAGGATATATCACCATGCAGTACGATGGTCTAGAATCCATTACCTCATCCTAATGACAAGGAAACATCAGAAAAACACAAAATGAACTAGATTCTGTTTAAAAATGGGGAGGGGACACACCCTATACTTTTAAAAAAAAATAGCAACATAATTAACAAAGAATGGTTATGTAAACATTACAGATTAAGAGAGGCTTAAAAGAAACATCATAACTAAATGCAAATATCTGACCCTAGACTGAATTGTGCACCAGAGAGGAGTAAAGGGAGATACTATACAGGACCTTACTAGATCAATTAACAACACTGGACTATAACAGAATATTAAATAAGTTTACGTATGGAAATTTATGAAGTTGATTTAACATTGATGTGAGAGAACAGCCATGCTCTTAGGAAAAACACTCTGAAATATTTTTGGGGAAAAGGTCATAATGTATGTGACTGGCCCAGAAAAAAAACTCTCAGTAAATTTATACAGAGTAAGAATGCAAATGAGGTGGTAAAATATCAATAATAGATAAATTTTGGCAAAGTATATAGGATATTTCTTTGTGCTATTTAATTTTTGCAACTTTCTGCAAGTATGTAATTATTTCCAAATAAAGTTTTTTTATTTATTTTTAATATTTTTTTTATTGGTTTCAGGGAGGAAGGGAGAGAGATAGAAACATCAATGATTAGAAAGAATCATTGATCGGCTGCCTCCTGCACACCCATCACTGGGGACTGAGACCGCAACCTGGGCATGGGCCCTTGGCCAGAATCAAACCCAGGACCCTTTGGCCCACAGGTTGCCGCTCTATCCACTGAGCCAAACCAGCTAGAACATAAAAAAAATTTTAATGTGTGAATATGGGGTGGTTTCCCTGACAAGAACATAAGCTTGCCCGGCCAGTATGGCTCCGTGGTTGAGCACTGACCTAAAACCAGGAGGTCATGGTTCAATTCCGGCCAGGCATATGCCCAGGTTGCGGGCTCAATTCGATCCTCAGTGGGAGGTGTGCAGGAGGCAGCCAATCAATGATTCTCTCTCATCATTGATATTTTGCGCAAACGCTCGCTCGCTCTCTCTCTCTCTCTCTCTGTCTCTCTCTCTCTCTCTGTCTCTCTCTCCCCCTTCCTCTCTGAAACAATAAAAAATATATTAAAAAGAAAAAAGAACTAAGCTCTGTGAGGATAAGGCCCAACTATCTTGTTCATTTTTTTTTTTTTTTTTTTTTTTTTTTTTAATCCTCACCCGAGGATACTTTTCCACTGATTTTTAGACAATGGAAGAGAGGGAAGTCAGAGAAATATCTATGTTAGAGAAACATCGATTGGTTGCCTCCTGCATGCACCCTGACCAGGGCCCGGGCAAGGGAGGAGCCTACAAACAAGGCACATGTCCTTGACCGGAATCGAACTCGGGACGCTCTGGTCCACAGGCCGATGCTCTGTCCACTGAGCCAAACTGGCTAGGGCCTATCTTGTTCACTTCTGCATCCTCAGTCTATGACACAGTGCTTGACATAAATATTGAAAATATTTCTGAAAAAGTGAATAAGTGAATGACTATTAGAGCATATTAAAGTCTTCAAATCCAGCCTTTTAGATTTAGGAAAATCTTTGTGAAGGAAGTTCCATCTCAGGTGAGACCTGAAGTAGAGGGACTGAAACGTGCAGACACTCCTCTCTCACCAGAAAATGGATTGCCAGTGGGGGAACCGGCTGAAGCCAAGTGTGAGTGGGAAGAGATGGGAGAGATGCACTAGCTGGTGAGCAGGAGCCAGATCAAAGTATCTTCAAAGAGTTTAGGTTTTCCCCCTGAAGGTTGTGGAAGCACAAGCCTGTGGCTGAAAAGTGGCACTGCATAGGACAACAAAGTTTGAACAGATGAAGTTAAAAATGTTATGATGTCTTACAAATTCTTTAGAAACTTTCCAGCTGAAATAAGTCAAATGGGTATGTAGTCTTTGGCTGCCTCTACAGAAATGGTCTCTGACTACTGTTCATACGGCACTGCCATCTACTTACACGCATAAATAGGACTGCAACTGCTGAGCCTGCAACCAAACGAAGAGTCTCCTGAGAACAGCCGAAGAGGAGAACTTAAATAAACTGAGCCATTTTCTTTTGAGTCTCACTTAAGTCTGGTGGGTACCCAATATTTCCACAGCCTTCCTATGTTTTTGTGGCCTATCTCCCAAGAAATGTCACTGGAGGTCAGACCACCGAACTTCATTCTGAGACGGAGGGCAATGAATGGGAGAGCACAGCTGTCCCCTATGACGACTTCTTAGATCTTTCCAAAGCACCCGTATCTTCCTCTGATAACCCAGAAAGCCAAACCTCCTATGGAAACAAAACGTGGCTGGATATGGTATGTAAAAATTGTGACCATTTTAAAAAAAGAAATCTGAGCAATTGCGAGCAATGGCCTCCAGACAACCTTAGTGGCATGCTCCTAAAGAAGCTAAGTTCCAGACTCCAGCAGCATCCATGGGAGAGAGGAGACAAGACAAATCTTCCCTGTCTCCTTCCTCTTCTCCCTCCCTATCCCCATCCCCCTAGGGAATTGTTTATAGGTAAAATTACAAGACGTTTATGAATATCTCATTAAAGTATGTTTACACACATCCTCTGAAATACCTGCAAAGGAAAGCTGGGGAATCTAAGTGCTTTGCACATTACTCTGCAGTGCACATACACAATTTTGTTTCAACCCTGGAGGCCTGGGTGTTAAAGCAGAGACTCAGAAGGGAATGTTGATGAAGGTTTCAAGGGTGCTGCTCCCAATACGGGCCCTTCTCTACCAACTCCTCATCCCAGGACCTGGCAGGACGCAAGGCCACCCACTGGACCAATCCTGAAACACAACTTGGTTACACAGGCCCTACTTCAAGTGACTCCGCATGCACCTGGCAAACCAGTCCACGTGTTCTGTGTAAAGTGGGCCAACTAATCTCCCCACAGAAATCTGAGGAAAACACACCCTCATCTGCTCTTAAACAGCAAGAAAGAAAGATATTGTCTCAATTTTGAACTATTATCCATTCAATAACTGCTTAGTTACAATTTTTTAATGGCATGTTACTTTATTTAGTCTGTTATCTGAAGGAAGCTAAAGAAAATAACATTCTCAACTCAAGAATGTAGCAACTGATATTTTAAACCTATAATGCTAACTAACTTTTAAAGAGCCACACCAAAAAAAAAGAAAAAGACAAGTAAAAGCTGGCATGGGAGTGGTTAATTTTGGACACCTGGTAACTTTCCACTTGTTGGAAACCTAATAGGTTTCCTGGTATAAGTACGCTCTTCTTACACGTCTGTCTTTGATGTCTGGATAATGCAGTTTTACTAGTTCCTCAATTGGACCGAATTACACAATAAACAAAGACTGTTATAAATCTAAAGACGTCTTAAACACTTGGTTTAAAGGAAATAACCTTAAGTGCTTGGTCACAAACACATTCAACTTTTCTAAGAGGTGGATAAAAAAAAAATTAGCTGAGTCACTAAATTTAATGATCTGAAGGCCACAAAGAAAGAGAAAGTAGAAGACAACGCATGTCTTTAATTTTAATCTGATGGGAACTGGTATTCTTAGTTGGCAACTAAGTTTCCCAAACAGCAAAATCTGAATGTCCATTCTAATAATCTGCCAACACTAATCCTTTTAAAACCGAAGAGTTACCGCAGAGGGGGCAAAATATTCTTTAATACAGTAACTCCTTGTATTTTTCAGCTTTATTTACAGAGCCACTTGTATCAGAAAAATAAAAAACTCAGAACATAACAGTTAATTTTATGCCAACTACTTCAGAAAGAAAAATAATTCTAGAGTACTTTCAATTCTTTGTCACAAATATATATCATGAAAACATACTACACACATATAAGAGCTTTTTAGAACCTGTCACCAGATTCCCAGAGTTGTTTATTTGATGTGTTTAATAAACCAAGACACCAATTCCCCACAGGGCGCCTCAACTGGAAGGCAGGAGGAGGGTGTGGTGTGTTTTTTGTTTGTTTGTTTGTTTGTTTGTTTTTAAGGAGGGTGTTTTTTAACACCTCAACACGACACCTAGGGCAAGAAGTGGTAACATCCCTAAGATAGTACACATGTCACAGGACAGAAATGCTGTGATCCAGCATTACTATGGCCGCTGTAGGCATATATATTGTCAACAGCTCTATCAGTGTTTCACCCTCTACAACCCCATGCCCACCACCCAGCCCAAGAGGAAATATTTCTGGGTTCTGTGATCTGGACTGCTCCATGACACACACA